TGAATAGATTTTTACATTCCCATCAAAGAAGGGAAATTTTGCCAGGACAACAGCATTAGCCTACTCTCTTTTTATTCAAAACTCTTGAGGAATCTTTAATGTGCACAGTCTGTAGTACACAGGCCTTAGTTGTTTTTATCCCATCTGAACGAGTAGATCCTTTTACCATGTCGCCCCTTCAACCAGCATCACTGACAAAAGAACAAAGGGGGTTGAAAATTCTAAAGATATTATCAAGGCCTATGCTGATTGAACATCAGGCCTTCAGGTTGGCGAGCAAGGACCTAACACACTAAGCCACAGCGGCTCCTGACTGATGAAAAAGATGGGATACAGATACATTTAGTTGACAAAAAGTAGATCCTGGAAGTCTGAGTGTAAAAATACTCTGATGCCATAGGTTATTCATCTAATTAAATTCAACTCCTTATTAAACAATATGATGTAGAATGCATCCACGACTAAGTGACATGTAAGAAGCCAGTTGTGGAAGTCAGAAAATTAATGTGTCAGGCCATACAAAATATGTAGTCTGTTTTACAGGCCCAAAAATGCCTGATTGTTGCCTTAATATTAATTGTACGTTAAATTTGTGGTAATAAATAATAAATGCTTTTGCTCACTCCGATTTATTCCAGTTGAAAATCTAAAAAGGAGCTTATAAATAATAAATAATAAATTCGCCCTCTTAACCTGATTTTTGAAAAAAGGCCTGTAACAGACTATTTATTTTGTATGGCCGTATACAAAATAAAATACTACTAAATACAAGAAATACTTCAAGCATAATAAGACAAGACACAATATATTCAGTCTACAATAATACTTTATATAGTCTCTGACAAAGCAGGGCTGGATAATAGAGGTTATGCCTTATCTAATCTATACATATGCTCCGTCTTTATACGTATGCTATATATACTTACTTTTTTAATGTTAATCCTGTGAGCTTTTCCTTTATGTACAACTTTAACAAGAATGTCTTCTTTCTCTATGACAGGACTGGCCCCAGTGATCAGTATTTCCTGACTACCATCCTGGTCTAATATCAAACTGGTATTTAAACCATCAATACTGACCAGATCTTTAGCTCGGTTTAATATACTGTAAGGGAAATAGATAGGACATTTTCAACAAGCCAGATCGGAACATCTTCATGTCTCACATGCTAATTCCCTTCTTCCGCCTCTGGGGATAAAAAACGTACAGTCTAACTTGGTCTAGCTGTCACCTGTATTCAGCACCACCCTTTAATGAACGGCCACTAAAAATACATCCCGTGCAATTTTCAACCAAATTTACCTCTATTAAGCACCACCCCTTAGTAAGCAGCCACTTTTGAGCATTCCCTCGACTGGCTTCTTAATACAAGTTAGACTGTAGATTTAACATGGCAGTCTATGGCCAGCGATGAAAAAAATATAATATAAAAGGTTAGGTATAATGACAGTTATCCATTAAGAACGTTTTTAAAAGCAAGTTTTCTCAGTTCACAGTAAATATCACGAATCAGGCAATCATGAATGTACTAAATCTTTTGTAAAAAAATTTTGGGCCCTTAAATTTGAAATATCAGGCACAATTTCTAGAATTATTTTGCAGGCCTATCCCTAATTATAGATTTGTTAATTTTTACTGTGTCATGTAGGCCTATGATTAATTTAATTGATTTACAAGGCTTTAGACTTATTTAAAAAAAAAAAAATTTTAGTTTAAATTTACAAATTTACGTGCTTAGACTTTTCACCCAATCTCCAGATATTTCAAGTCAATTTTTTTTCCTGACCGGTACACATGTATGGTATAAAATCCTGTTCCAAAGACAACTGTCTTATTGCTGTGCAAATTCACAAAATTAATTAATGCTCAAGAAAGAAAAAAAGAAAGACACAACTGAATGAATCAAAAAGTTGTTTTCTCTGAATAAAAGTTGAATGAATAGAGTGACTTAAATTATAATTGTTGAAAAACTTTATACTAAACAACATAGCACCTCCTTACCCCCCCCCCCCCCCCCCCCCCCCCCCCCCCAAAATTTCAAAATTACTCTCAGGTTGACAACCCCTGCTTTATGAACCATAATAAACAAATCACAATAACCTACTTTAATGCAGATTGTAACTGCTTGGTATGTCTTGGTGCACCAACTGATGGTAAGGGAGAGAACTCATCTAGACTAGAAATATCTTCTGTGCTAAAATAACAATAGATTTATAGAACCACTTTAATATAGTTATAATTTTAAATTAAAGATGTGAACAGATACAGACATTGACAAAATATTTTAATACAAGAAATATTTCACAAGGATTGGAAACATTCATCCGTTATGCATCAGAAACTTACATGATCAATTCTATTGACTAATCAGATGAATGAAACAATAAAATCAGGGGCCTGGCCCGTTTCATACAGTGCATAAGTTTACTCCAAAATTATTAGAATTACAATCATCTTTCGCAAATTCTTACATGTGATTCACTAACAAACTTACAAAGATCTTAGCTAATAAGGTTTAACACATGTAGTCCACATCATTGTCTAGTTGAATTTACATTTCATCAATTTAAGAAGTATATTTCATACGACCTAAGCTTAAAAGTCCCGTAAATACAGAAAAGGTGTACAGTGGTGAAATTTAGTGAATTTTTGTGCAAAATGGTGAAAGTCATATAAATGAAAGATCAAAATACCGGCAGCAAGAATAAGGCAAATTATGCAGTGAGAAACATTCAATGCTTTGATATGAGTTCTCACGATAAAAAATGGCAAGTTACTTCTATTCTGAAGCATTTCTTGAGTTTAACAAAAAGTTAAAACAGGGTATAGCTGTGGTAAGTTACTTGAAAAATTACAATAAACTCTTAGCTTAAGAATTTAAGTGAAACGCCACTTTCGATTATGTCTTACGTAAGACAGAATTAGTGCAGGTCTTGTTCCAGCATATAAAAACAGAAGACAAAAGATAATGAGTAGAAGTAAATACCTAGTAGAAGCAAGAGAATCATCAAAATCTGGTCTCTGTTTACACACTTCTATTACATCTTCACTTAAATCTGCACTGTTACATAATACTGGTACTTCTACAAAAGATACTCTTTCAATTACATAATACTGGTAGGTCTACAATAACCAATATGAAAAAAATAATATATTTCTTTGACACATTGTGAGATAGAGAAGCCCTGAGTAGACCAGCAAAATATTTAGAAAACCTCTATACAACCCCGTTAAATATGGGTTCCCTTATTTTCATTTATGAAAATGAAAATGCTAGTACGTATATGAATAGAAAGTAGAGGTGTTCTAATGACTTGGAAAAATACCAGTTTGTCTCACATGTCTATATTTAATTCATAATTAGCTAAATAAGAAGAGAATTACCAGCAGAATTCCAATGAGTGACCGATCAGGAAAGATCAAATAGTCTTTTTGTTTATCCAGACTGTACATACATGGACATTTATGATTGGTTAAAACTCTTAATTATATGAAATAAGAACATAATGATATGATCAAGAATACATGATAATTCATTCGAAACACCAATTAATCAAATAGTTTGCTTAATTTGACACTAAAAAAATAAAGAAATCCATCTTTAAGTTATTTCAGAACTTGTACCTTCCAATGGTTCCTCTACATCTTCATCAACCAGACTTATATCTAATAAATAATTCTTCGTTTTAACGTTTCCCAGACATCGTTCAACTTTCGATGAATAAATATTAAACTGTGATGGTTCGTTATCTTCTTCTTCCTCTTCTTCACTATCAGAATGAGGCTGACATTCTTTCATCAAGCCAGCCAATCCCCTACCTCGTAAGGTTGACGATTTTTGTTTTTTAATTCTCGGTGGACTGTCTTCATCACTTGAGCTATCCTAAAAATAAATGAAAATCAATCAATTACTGGATGCAAATTTCTATTCAAAACTATCAATCCAACATAAAAAATCAAATGTAATTTTATCTACTAGGCTAGTACCACTGTGTGACCACGATGTTGTCTAAATTGCATTTTGTCTATCATTTTTGTATGAAATGAAATATTAACATAAAAATAGTTCTGACAGTCTTAGATTGTTTTTAGGTTGATGAAACTGCCAACCATTCAAAAGTTGATTTTTTGAAAATATGAATGTAGAGAGGGGGATTTTCAGTCCGAAATGTGGGTCATTTTCACCCAAACTTTCTAGGAGGGAAGGGTGTTTATTATAAATACGAAATTTTTCAAACTTTTATTTCCATGGACCCTTAGACAAATGGCATGCAATTGACAATCATATTTTGAAAGAGAAAAAATTCAATTTATAACTCAACTAGAATGTACAAATCAACATGGATGATGAAATTAAAAGAAACATATCATCATTTTCCTAAATCATTTGTCTCAATATGAATTAAGATGGTAAATAATTTATATACAAGCACTCGCACTAGAATCAAAATATTCCACAAATCGCAGACACCAAAATTTGACGATGTTGAAAGAGAAATTTACTGGCTTTCTTTATTCAGTTCACCTTTTTATTTGTGCGATAGCGTTTCATACTGATGAAATTTTTATAATTCAGCTAACGTTAGTTTGATTGAACCATAGCAAAACGTAATCTGACAAAAATTTCAAAATTTACCGAGAAAGATTTGTTTTGATTTTCTACTTCCGCCATTTTTGTTTAACGCGGTTAATGTAGTCTCGATTTAAAGCCCTAAGTTTCCATAGACGTCTTTGCTATTCCAATATCTTCGATCATCAAGTTTCTTTATATTACGTCTTGGTGCAGATGTCACAATAATTTCACTTGATGATCTCGACTATTCTACTTTCATTTTCATTTTCTTTGGAATTCCATATTCTTTCATATGAAATGACGTATATGACAATATCGAAAGCAATCAATACGTTTGATGGCATTACCAGTTTGGCTAGACAATAGGTAGGTAAAATATCTGTATATACATTTCTATAGCGCATGGTAGTGATATCGCTGTTTAATTGATATTTAACCCTGTTAAACTGACGAATTTAACCACCGTGATCTTAAACCGGAAGCTGTAGGACTACAGGGTTTTACTTCATGACATTTTGAGATTCTACTTCTTTACGATAGTCCACATGACATAAGAGGTACTTTTGGGAAGAGACACGCTGCTCACCCACGTCTGCTATCAGTCATGGCGTTTAGGGGGTTGAGTAGAGACCACAAGGGGGCTTTCAGGGAATTCTTTCACTACGTAAATACAGTTCTTCGTGTCAAGTTTCTCGGGTTGTCAAACGCAATTACCCCGACTTGCAAAATAGATTCCAAACTATTTAAATACATGTATATAAATAAAAATTGCTCATAGCATAGCTTACTCAAAAAATAGAAACCTTAAGGATATCCTTGTCCATTGTAGACTTTATCTAAATAATCTAATGATTTAATCATAACCATTTATTTCAGTGCAGTTTTATTTGTGTATTTGGTACTTTGATATAATTCTTGTTATTGAATATTGATTTATAGCTGTCGACCTACAATTATGCAGTATATAGTCAATTACATTGAAACATATTTGTGTTACCAGCGGATAAAGCTTGATATGAGCTATCCTTTGTTTCTTATAGCTTCCACCTCCACCATTTCAACTACCAACTGTTAAGACTGTTGTCACTGTCCAATAAAACAGAAAAAGGAGACCCATAGAGGGCAAAGGAGGGGGTGGGGTAGGCATCCACAATTAATTAACCCCCACCCCCATGTCAAAACTGGCCGACCTATACAGTCATTGCAACCCATTTGCCCTTCAGGAGATAATTATTACCCCCTTAAATAAAGTTTTTCTTAATCTTCAATAGCCTGCCAAATTGTGGAAATATATGGAACTGGTATGGAACTAGAATTGGTACACAATCAGTGAGATTGTCTTGAAATCAAGGTAGACCAACTTAGTTTCGCTACCAAACCTTTCAGTTACTTCAGATATCAGGTAAACTTTTATATTATACCGTTAGTAGCCTATAATATCTGTTATATCGGTTTACGTAACCCTTCAGTGCCTATATTTTCGGTAGAAATATCTAGTCTCGTTCTGATCACAGTAAATTGTCCAAAAACAATCTTGTACCAGATAGTCAGATTACAGGGCCGTAACTATACATCAAGGCAAATGCCACAGAGGCCTATAGAATTAGACAGAAACAGAAATGAATAAAAACTTCGTTTAAAAATTAAAAATCTGAATATGATAATTTCTAAATTAACGCTTATTTGGTGACTTAGAGACCCATCACACCGAACTGCGACCATTTTTGATCGTACGGTGATCAAAGAAAGTAGCCTACTAGGTCGCAGGAAAACGCGAGAAAACGCCCCTTTAAAATACAAATTCTATAATAGTCGCACTCAAACTGCATCATTTGCGACCATTTGCGTTCCCCTTAAAAAGCTTGTTGCATGTCACATGTAATGTGTTCATGCAGATGTTACGATGCTTGTCTCTAAAAATTCCCATACGGTCGCAATAAGATTTATGGTCAAATTGTGGACCTACTCTGCGTTGAAATCGGCCAAATTTGCTCTTCATGCATAGAACAACATTAGCTTGTTCACACTAAAGTCCATTAAGGTCAATACATAGTTACGTTTACGTGGAGCGGGAAGAGAAAATTGTTAAATTGTCTCAGGCCACTTGTGGATTTTAATCGACGTGGACGTATCCGTCGCCGTAACAGCTCGGTAAGGACGACTTTCTAGTGTGACGTGGCAAGACTGTAAGGTAAAAGTCGTTGCCGTTTGATGTCTACCCAAAGGGTTGCGATGAAAGACAACAGCATTTTTGCCTCGAAAAAAGACCTTAGTTACGGTCCTGCTAGGCTAGCCTATGTGAAAACACCTTGTTTATCAAGTGGAAATTATTTTCAAAATTCATTAGATCCTATTGGTGTAGTTCTAGGCCCACTTTTTATATTTTCCAATTTCTATTTTGCAGAGTAGAAGCTGATAAATGGATAGAATACTGCCTGAGTTTCTTAAGAAATTATGGAGAAACCACAACAATGGTGACAGAGATAAAGCAGATCCTGAGGAAGGTAGGGACTGCACTAAAATTGACATTTTTGATAATGTGTTATTTGATCCACTTCCTGCTCGAACCCCTTCATCAGATCAACAGACCAACGGAAGTGACATAAAAAATGTCGCCAAGTCGCATGATAAAATTGTTATCGCCGAGACTAGAAACAAGTACGATTGGAAGATATTACCCTACCCTAAAGAATCTACAAATAAATTTAAATCAGACGGAAGACTCACAACACCATCAAAACAGTCGTCTTTCCGACAATATGACCCATCTGCATCTTCAAGATATAGGCCTACCCTCATGTCAGAATCACCCACAGAATTAGATCGAACTGAAAGGAGGAGAGAACATCGCGAAACACTCAAAGATTCGTACCCAAATAAACAATTTGACGGTCAAAACATTCCAATTAAACCGAGGTCTACCCTAGACAATAAAGCTAAACCAGCACTGTCCACTAATAGTTTCACGAAGAACGAAGTAGGGTTACCACACCAAAGCCGTGAAAACCGGGGGACACAGAATGGTTCTTTGTCGTCGAGATCATTTGGGTCTTCTGATCTTTCCAATGACGAGGAGGCTAGACTACAACATACAAGAGAAGTTTTAAAAAGGACCACGGACAAAATCAGAAAGTCCGAAAGTAAAGAATCAAAGACTTGTACTGACTACCCAGGAATTCGCCTGTCATCGACATCTTTTGGGTCTTGTAATATTTCAAATGACAAGGTGGCTACACTGCAACATAGAAGAGATGTTTTAAAAAGGGACACAGGCCAAATCAGAAAGTCCGATAGAAAAGAATCAACATTATGTAGGCCTTCTGCTTACCCAGTAGTTCCCAAAAGAAATGAATTCTGCGACGAATCGAAGAAAAATACAAAATGTCCAATGACTCAATATGACCACTTGTCTTCAACTACCAGGCTTTCGTTCGAGTCATCTGATGGTACGGATGTCGATACATCGAAAAGCAGAGTTAATTATATAAAGATGATATCCCCTCGACCTTTCATATACAGACAGTCAAATTCATTGGAAAATAAGACGGCAAAAGAATCAGGGAATGGTAGCAGCAGCACAAAAGTTATTGACACGTACACAAAAAAGATCCATGATTCGAGAGATGGATACCAGCAATTTAATATGGAGACATCAACAGTAGATACAAAGTATAAAGGGGTCGCAACCGATAAACGGACGCCAACGGACAAACAACCAATAGTCGATAAACAACCACTAGTCGATAAACGACCTCCAGTCGATAAAGGGAACGCAACCGATAAACGGAAACCAGTCGACAAACAACCAGTCGATCAACGAACATCCGCAAACGATAGTTCCGAAATTGATAAATACACAAAAAAAAATCATTCCCAACTTGACAAATTGCTCTCAGACTGTGTAGAGAAGAGCAGGAATGACTGTCTCAAAAAGTCTGGTAAATTATGTGATGCTGAGAATGCCGGAGAACATTCCCTTTCTACCTTGGAAATAGGAACATTAGCGAAATATCATTCCCAAGGTGCCCGACCTAAAGATTCGTCATTCATTAACAAATCGAAAAACATGTCACCTAATCTTGCTGAAACCAGTGGTGGACGAAATGACGTAAAGGGGCTGGAGCCAACTTCACAACATACCAAATTCGACACGAGACAGGAAGCAAATGATCATTCCAAGCGATCGAAAAATAACGAAACACTTAACTTGGACCAATCAAAAGTTAAATCAGCGAATCCAGATCTGACTGAAAACAGTCGTCGACAGAGTTATGTAAACCGGAAATCTGAAACAAACCAAAAGGCTTCTCATAAAATAATTGCTGCAACTGCTTCAGAGCAAAAAGGATCCACTTCACTACATGAAAGGAACAATTCATTAAACCAGGATCAATCAAAAAGCAAAAAGAAAAGAAATCGCCGAAGGAGAAAGTCAAACAACCATGAAGCAACCAAGGATAATCACCATGTAACTTCTGCAACTCCATTACGGCAACCAGAAATTGGCAATTCCCAGCCACTTGAACGGAGCCAATCATCAAGCCAGAACCAATCAAGAAGCAATGTCGTAAAGAACCCCAAAAAGCCTGAAACAACCCCGATTAATCCAACAATAATACAAGACAAACCAATCCCGAGCAAAGTGCATCTAACAAATCATTTTCAAAAGATTGCAACCTGTCCAAAGTCAAAACCAAGTCGAAGCTTTTATGTTGTGCTGCTGAAAATCGAAATGTCGGTACCTTTGGTTGCTCTTTTGGATATAATTTTAGGCCCTGATAGTGAACGCACTATACTATCTATAGAAGACGAACCTATCTTGGACCTTGAAAGCGCCACCCTGAACTTTTCCGACGTCCAGAAAGCTGAACAGGCTTTAAAGCAACTTCGTGAGTTCAACTGTCAAAATCTGCTTTGTACCTGGACTACTGTGGATAAGCGTATAGAAATTTTGAAGACATATTTTAACGACTTTGAATTTCATTCTTCTGACATTTTGAAAACTCACGATGAAAAAATTCAAGCCATCCGAAAACAATTGGAAAGTTGTGCCTTTGATGAAAAGGAAGCCTTAAAGATGCGGAAAGAGGAGCTAATACTACAGCTTAGAGAGTTTACAAGTTTTTCAAAAACGGTTCGGGAATCTCTTCGCCGTTCCATTCTATTGGAGGATGAACGTACGTTTCAATCAGGAGTGGAGAAGCAGGTTATTGGCTTCGGGGTGGAGTGCAACCGCCTGAAATCGGCGCTACCGATCTACGCTCGAAAATCTGATATTCTAGACGTTATTCGTCAACACCAGGTGGTCATAGTCCGTGGTGAGACTGGTTCTGGAAAAAGCACGCAGTTGGTTCAATACTTACACCAATGTGGACAATACACCGCGGGACTCATCGCTTGCTCCCAACCTAGAAAGGTAGCATGTGTCAGCTTAGCTAAACGTGTAGCAGATGAGTTGGTTACCGTGGTGGGTAAGATCGTCGGATCAAAAGCGGGTATGAAAACGGAAACTTCGCCTCAGACTAAAATAGTTTATACCACCCATCACACACTGCTTAATGAGTGTCTGAATGATCCAATGTTCCGGCGGTACTCTTGCTTGATGATCGACGAGGTTCATGAACGTAGCATTTATACCGATATATTATTGAGTATACTGAAGAACTGCTTGCCCAAAAGACCAAGTTTAAAAGTTGTCATTGCATCTGCTACTATTGATGTCCAGTTATTCAAAGATTATTTCATCGACGCACCAGTAATTCAGGTTTCCGGTAGAGCATTTCCGGTAGAGATAATCTGGCAACCCAAGTATCATCAATGGACGAAACCGGTTCAAGAAGTCGTTTCAAAGGCTATCGAGGTTCATGCTTCGGAAGGTCCTGGAGATATCCTGGCGTTCGTAACAACTCAAATGGAAACGGAAAAGTGTAAAGATGAGTTTGAGGACAGGATGAAGAACAGATTCAACTTCGAGTGTCTGATGCTTCATGGTCAACTTCCTTCTGAGGAACAAGCTCTAATCTTCAAACCAACTAGAGAGGGTCGGAGAAAGATTATTTTTAGCACCAATTCGGCAGAGACGTCTTTGACAATTCCTGGCATTAAGTTTGTCATAGATTCCGGTTTAGTGAAAGAGATGCAGTTTGATGCAAGGAAGAACATGAATACGTTAGTGGTTGTTCCGGTCAGTCGGAGCTCAGCGGACCAGCGAAAGGGTAGAGCAGGACGGGTATCTCCGGGGAAATGCTTTCGGTTGTATACAGAAGGAGATTACCATCAAATGAAACCGACAAGCACTCCAGAAATCCTCCGAATTCATTTGTCCCAAACGTTATTAATGCTGTATGAAATGAACTTAAAACCGTCCGATTGTGAGTTTGTAGAATCGCCACCTGATGCGGCGATCCAAACAGCGATTGAGACTCTGGAAGAACTCGGAAGCATCAAGGATGATAGGATTACAGACATTGGGAAATGGTTGGTGAAGATTCCCCTCGAGCCGCGATTTGGTTGTATGATTAAAAAGGGGTTTGAAATGGGGTTCGCCTATGATACCATCGTATTTACTGCTTTATGTAGTTCCTCAGGATCTATATTCTATCGAGGAGGCAATGATCAGCAGAAGAAACGAAGCGATTTGAAGAAGCTGACATTTTGTGACACTAAGGGTGATGCTTTTACTTATTTGAAAATCTACAAGGAATGGGAGCAAGTGACAGAAAAACGGAAGAATAAATGGTGCTTTGATAATGCCCTTAATTCCAAATCACTTCGCGGAGCCAGAGAATTGGTGAACGAGATATGTTCTATTTTTAAACATAACTGGTCCATTCTCGTCAAGAAAACTTTTTCTACCAAAGTGGAACTTGAAGAAGCTCTCCAGAACATTATCCTGTTTGCCTTTTACGAGAATATTGCCCATTCTTTAGGCCACAATAGGATGGGTTACTACATTCCTAACCTACGACAGAGAGTCTTTGTCCATCCGTCGTCTGCCCTGAACTCTTTAAACGATTCGAGTCAATGGTTGGTGTTTATAAACATTCTGAAAACTTCAAGAGATTATATAACCGTTGTGACGCCCGTGGAGGAGTCATGGATTCGTAAGATCACCTCTTTAAAGACCAAACAATTTGATATCGACGAGGCCAAGAGGAAATCAGTGTGCTCAGTTCGTAATCAATTTTTCGGTTCCACAACATATTCATTCTTTGTTGGTCCTGCACACTCGAAGCTGAAGGCTTATGAAGATTTACTATACGAATCGGTACAAGTCCCTGTGGTCATAGAAGCTGATCGAAAAACTGGGGAAGTCAAATTCATCTGCGGATTTAATGTGGCGCTACCTGGTGATTTGATAGACAACTGGATAGTCGAGGCAAGAAGTCACGTGATACAAAGAACTGCTGAATATAAGGTTGGTTCGAACAACCAGGCTGGTGGAGTTCGAATCGTTCTTGGTTTAGGTGGTGAAGGTCAGCTGATTCTGATGCCTGACGAATACCGGAATATCCACATCAAATCGTCAGGTAAAGAGACCAGTAAGGAGACGGTGGTGGACAAGTTCAAAAGATTTGGACAGATTGTAGACTGTTGGGAGGACAAACGATCTTATCATAGATGGGGTCGAGTAACATTTTCTACACCAGAAGCTGCTGCGGAAGCCGTAAGAAGAACACAAGATGATCCAAAACACGCAGCTACCCCGGAATTCAAGATTCAAAAACACGCCTTCTTCCAATATCAAGCGACTATTGAGTGGGTAAGACGAAAGCCAACTGGACTGGTTTTTGTGGACATGGATTATTTGGAGGCGATGTCGGTGAAGTCACTGCGCGAAGTTAGGATACTGGGACAATCATGCAGCATCTCTTTGGATAAGAAGAAGCGCGGCACCGTGCTTCTTCGCAAAGTGCCAACTATGGTAACGGAGCAAGATATTCAATATTGCTTTCCACAGCATTCCCAAAGGAGAGCTATAACTAAGATAAGCATCATACGAGAGAAAACCTTTACGAATCCAAACGAAATCCCATACTTCCAACAACAGATACACGACCAGTTTCAAGAATTCGACCATGATATGAAATTTGTTGTGGATGTCATGAAGCCGTATGATAGTAACATCAATTTTAGAGCATTCATAAAGTTCAACGATGCTTCTCAAGGCACAATGGCGTGTGATGCTCTACGAGGAAGATTAATAATCAATGGTCAAAAAGCAAATCTAACACCAAAACTATCGTCGTCTCTCTCAGTATCGGAACAAGTCTACCAATTACTTGAAGACGAAATTGAAGATTTTACAGCCGAATTAAGAGAAAATGGCACCGAGTTCAAGCTAGACAGTAAGAAATTGAAGAACGAAAGACGAGTGTTTAACATATCAGCTTCGAATTCGAATGATCTCGTGCAGATTCGACTTGGATTGGCGGCCATTGTACAAGGGGAGGTAATTGAATATTGGAGCAACGAGAACAACCGGTATTTATTTCTGAAATCCGGTCGCGAATTTCTCCGTAGTTTGGAGAAGAGAACCAATACCATTCTTCAAGTGGACAACAGGCTGCTCAGTCTGAGAGTTTTTGGATTGGAAGATAACATATTAATGGCACAGAACGCAATTGATCAATATCTAGGAAACATGGTTGAAGGCGATGGGCGTCGGGAAATCAAACTGGATGGCAAGTCTCAACCAAAAGGCTTGATGAAAACCCTAGTCACTCGTTATGATTTAGAACTGGAAGGTTTTGTACAAGCGTCTGGACTGCAGTCAGCATTGTTGAACCACCATAATCAAACGCTGAAGATATCTGGTGATTCAGCAAGTATAGAAAAAGCGACCGGATTGATCGAGTCATTGGCTACTGAATTGAGGAATAAAATCACGAAGACGAAAATTGCAGAGTTGCCAGATTGTTGCACTTGTCTATGTCCGGTACAAAGTATGGACTATATATACCGACTAGAAGCATGTGGCCACGTGTATTGTCTGGATTGCATCAAGCGGCAGATAACTGTGGCTGTTCAAAGTAAAGAGTTACCGGTCTTGTGTGGAAATTGTCAAGACCCACTTGTTTGGTCAGATTTTGAATTTTGCTTCAAACGACTACAAATCAACCCTTTAGACTTAGTGAGAACAGCCGTGTCAGTGTACATGATTAGAAACAAAGATGGCTACCGACATTGTCCTACCCCTGACTGTCCAATGGTTTATCGTATTACTAAGAAGTCGGATGTCTTCAACTGTAACGAATGCGGCATGAGAATCTGTACGTCCTGCCATGTTGAATACCATGATGGTTTGACATGTGCTATGTTGAAGAGTTCTAGTGACGTTGACTCAGACATGGAGAAATATTTGAGAGAAAATGCTACAAGGGTGAAGAGATGTCCGAAGTGTTCTACTCCGATTGAGAAAAAGTCCGGTTGCAATCATATGACATGTAGTGGATGTAAAATCCATTTTTGTTGGCTTTGCTGTCAGGCTTTTACTACAACAAGTTCCGTTTATGGTCACTTGAATGCACAGCATGGTGGAATATTTGATTTTCGGTGATCAAGCCTATACCGCTCTTCCGCAAACGATAAAGTTTGGTGCCTCTCTGATATCCATGATTAAACAGTTTACATAGCAAAAAAAATATAAGCTAATTAAATGTGTAATGTTAATGAAAAACGAGAATTTGTTAACTAACCTAATCAGTGATAGCGTTCACATCTAAAAATCTTCTTGTCCACGTGTGTCCAGAATTATCTGATTTGAAATTTAAAAAGACGAGAATCGGCCAGAGACATAGAGAAATTCATAGTTGGAGGTATTTTTCGTTAGGTTTGAATTGATTATATTAGATAGGTTTTTGTTTATTATATTGGATAGGTTTGAATTTGTTATATGGAGTACTTGAATTATTTAAGTATATTAAATATGATTGAATTAACTATATTGAATATGTTTGAATTAACTATATTGAATATGTTTGAATTAACTATATTGAATATGTTTGAATTAACTATAATAAATATGCTTGAATTAACTATACTTAAAATGCTTGAATTAACTATATTAAATATGTTTGAATGGATTATATTGAATATGTTTGAATTAACTATAATGAATATGCTTGAATTAACTATATTGAATATGTTTTAATAAACTATAATGAATATGCTTGAACTAACTATATTTAATATGTTTGAATTAAGTATATTGAATATATTTGAATTAACTATATTGAATATGTTTGAATTAACTATATTGAATATGTTTGAATTAACTATATTGAATATATTTGAATTAACTATATTGAATATGTTTGAATTAACTATATTGAATATGCTTGAATTAACTATATTGAATATGCTTGAATTAAATATATTGAATATGTTTGAATGAACTATATTGAATATGTTTAAATTAACTTTATAGAATATGTTTAAATTAACTATATTGAATATGTTTGAATTAACTATACTGAATATGTTTGAGATAACTATAGTTAATGTTTGGATTAACTTTATTGAATATGTTTGAATTAACTATATTGAATATGTTTGAATTAACTATATTGAATATGTCTAAATTAACAATGTTTGGATTAACTTTATTGAATATGTTTGAATGAACTATATTGAATATGTTTAAATTAACAATGTTTGGATTAACTTTATTGAATATGTTTAAATTAACAATGTTCGGATTAACTATATTGAATATGTTTAAATTAACAATGTTTGAATGAACTATATTGAATATGTTTAAATTAACAATGTTTGGATTAACTTTATTGAATATGTTTAAATTAACAATGTTTGGATTAACTTTATTGAATATGTTTAAATTAACAATGTTCGGATTAACTATATTGAATATGTTTGAATGAACTATATTGAATATGTTTAAATTAACAATGTTTGAATGAACTATATTGAATATGTTTAAATTAACTTTATTGAATATGTTTAAATTAACAATGTTTGGATTAACTTTATTGAATATGTTTAAATTAACAATGTTCGGATTAACTATATTGAATATGTTCAAATTAACAATTTTTGAATGAACTATATTGAATATGTTTGAATGAACTATATTGAATATGTTTAAATTAACTATATTGAATATGTTTAAATTAACTATATTGAATATGTTTGAATGAACTATATTGAATATGTTTAAATTAATAATGTTTGGAATAACTATATTGAATATGTTTAAATTAACAATTTTTGAATGAACTATATTGAATATGTTTGAATGAACTATATTGAATATGTTTAAATTAACTATATTGAATATGTTTAAATTAACTATATTGAATATGTTTGAATGAACTATATTGAATATGTTTAAATTAACTACATTGAATATGTTTAAATTAACTATATTGAATATGTTTAAATTAACAATTTTTGAATGAACTATATTGAATATGTTTGAATAAACTATATTGAATATGTTTAAATTAACTATATTGAATATGTTTGAATGAACTATATTGAATATGTTTAAATTAATAATGTTTGGATTAACTATATTGAATATGTTTAAATTAACTATATTGAATGTGTTTGAATGAACTATATTGAATATGTTTAAATTAACAATGTTTGGATTAACTATATTGAATATCAGTGTCTCTCATAAATAGCGGGATGTTTAGGATTATTCAGGTGTTCTTCTCTGAAATAAAATCCGAGGACTGCGGCTCTAATTTAGAGGGCACTAGTCATTGTGAGGGGCGAGAACCCCACCCTCACCCTTTTTTTAGGACTCTTTTTTTTATCTAGGAAGGCGACGAATAAATACGCCACTGGCCTAGGGTGACTTCCAATAGTTAAGTAAAGTCAAATGAAGGACAAACAATATAATTCGAATAATTTTTTTATGTATATAACATGTTTACATTTACAGACAATAATATATACAAACTATATACACTTTACAAAATACAAGATAAAAGATGGACAAACTGTATAATTTAGACTTTGTGTTGTAGTAAAATCATTTTTACAAACATCACATTGGTAAGGTTTCTGTTTCGTAAGCATTCTCGTGTGAATATAAAGTCCACTTGCTTTTGTAAAATTATTTCCATTAACACCACAGAATTAAGATTTCTCTACAGTATGAGTTTTCATGTGACATCTAAGAGAACTTTGTTGACTAAAACATTTTTTACAAACATCACATTCGTAAGGTTTTTCACCAGTATGTATTCGCATGTGAACATTAAGATGGTGTTCTGCAGTAAAACACTTTTTACAAACATCACATTTGTATGGTTTTTCACCAGTATGTATTCTCATGTGAACATTAAGTTGTTGTACTGTAGTAAAACACTTTTTACAGACGTCACATTTATAGGGTTTTTCTCCAGTATGTGTTCTCATGTGAACTTTTAACTGAGATGTTCGAGAAAAAACTTTTTCACAAACCTCACATTGGTAAGGTTTCTCCTCTCCAGTATGTATTCTCATGTGGTCAATATGACTATCTCTCCGAGTAAAACACTTTTCACAAACATCACATTGGTAAGGTTTCTCTCCTGTGTGTTGTCTCGTATGAACATTTAGTGAACTTGCTGTAGTAAAACCCTTTTTACAAACACCACATTTATATGGGTTATCTGCAGTGTGTTTTCTTATACTATGATCTTTTAATTGATTTATCCCAAGAAAACACTTTTTACAAACATCACATTTATAAGGTCTCTCTCCAGTATGTATTCTCATGTGAACTTTAAGTGAACTTGAAGTGGTAAAATATTTTTCACAAACAACACATTGGTAAGGTTTCTCTCCAGTATGTATCCTCGTATGAACATTAAGTGAACTTGCTGTAGTAAAACCCTTTTTACAAACATCACATTTATACGGGTTCTCTCCAGTGTGTTTTCTTATATTGTGATCTTTTAATTGATCTAGCCGAAGAAAACATTCTTTACAAACTTCACATTTATAAGGTCTCTCTCCAGTATGTATTCTCATGTGAACTTTAAGTGAACGTGAAGTGGTAAAATTCTTTTCACAAACAACACATTGGTACGGTTTCTCTCCGGCATGAATTCTCATATGAATTTCAAAAGACTTCGATTTGATAAAGCATTTTTCACAAACATCACATTTGTATAAATTACCGTTTTTAAAAGATTCATCCATGACAAACTTTAACACAGGCAACAATGAACAGAAAGTGGAATATTTTACGGATTGACCATAAGTTTTGGTGTTGATTGAACTACGGATTAGATATGATTTACAGAGGGCCTAGTTTATAATTCTGACTGAATTCTGAGCCAATGAACCTTGTCACAAACTTCCCCAACTAATCCATTTCCATAGGCTAATGTTAAATAGCATATAAATAAAGATTTTTATGACCTCATTGGGTAATAAATGTCTCTGTGTCATTTCTTGATCTGCGGGTATTTTAAGACATTTTTTCTGCCTTTCTAACTTTCTTTGAAACTGGCATATTATAGGATATAGTTTTAAAAAAATGTTTTCATGGTGGCCATTTTGATATACAAATAAGTGATTAAAGAACCAAGGATTTCGCTTGAGAACCGTTTTGTTTTCGGATCCAGCATACCTGAAATATGTTTATAAGATATAGGTTCACGACTTTTAAACTAAGATTCCATATACGCGTCATGCTGATGCGTCAAGCGGACATAAATGACCCTTGCGGATCCGTCATGCGTCAAGTATGATTCCATATGTGCGTTAAACGTATACGTTATCTTTCTTTTGACGCACGGACTTCTAGACAGATGGATGCTTTGGTGCATAAAAAAGACAGGGAATCCCCAGAAAAATGTGGGAGATCTCCGCGCGGAAAGGCGTCCGGATGCGTAAAAAATCGCTACACCCGGCGATTTTTTTTGACGCATGACGGAGACCATTTGACGGATACTGCTTTCGCATATATGGAATCATACCATCTTAAACCAACCATTTCGATTTTTAACGCATGACGGATCCGCATGACGCTTTACCCGAAAATGTCCACCCCTCCTCCCAATGGTAGTAGAGTCATTAGTTATTTAGTTGACAGCTGTAAATTGTTTAGTTTAAACAGAATTTTATTTATATTATACATATAAATAGGGTTTCGGAAACAAGTCGAGTCTTAGGTTAATCCGTCATCTAATACAATATACCAAAATACAGAAAATATAAATAAATAAATAGATAAATAAATGAGTAAATTATCATACTGATAGATATAATAGAAGAAGTTTGATAGGTGTAAATTGGTACTGTTTAGGTCATATATCCCCAGTATATTAAATTGAACCGGGTAAAAGGATACTAATTATTTTATCAATAATTCAGTCGACCTGTGATATTTTTGTCCGAAGATCGCCTCGCCATTAATGAAGAGGATTTGGGAGAACCAGAGTTGATCAAACTGTAAAAACAACATTATCTAACTAAACACTCACGTCATCCCCAGCTGTCAGATAATAGAATCTATTAAAACATATCTAAAACATACTGTTTCTTCTCAATAGATGTAGTCATAGAACTATAATAGTATTAGGTATAGAATGTGGAAACAACCACCAGCTGTGAGAAAATAAACCAAACTAAAATCTATTAAAACATATCCACAACGCGTTCCTTTTTTTCGCTGAATGTAGTGAAACGACACGTTTTCTCTAATTCTCTATATAAACTCACATAATTATCACTGATCATCAAACTTGATTATCGAATCAATATGATGACCAATGCTAATTTGATGTTGATGGTGATCTTGCTGTGGGTTGGTACCTTACCAGTGGCCAGTCCTAAACTTTAACTCAGCATACTGAAAAGGTTTAGGAGAAAAAATGGTAAGTATAGTAGAGATTATTATAAAACAAACATCTTTGCATTCACCATAACTATTCGGCATTCCTCGACAGTTTCCGTATGATGCAGAGCTCTCTGAACAATGGCCAACTTTCTGCCCTGATATAGAATCGCACGTTTAACATTAACTCGTTTCTAAGATAAGAAATATAAAACTTTCATAAGTTAAGTACATTCTGCCAACACATACGATGTGGTAAGTATAGAAGAGATCGCTGGGATCGAATACGGCTGGCAAAACATTCCTTTGCACTCTCCATAACCATTTGACAAGCCACATACTGCTGAGCGTAGATCGTTGATAAAATTAAGGAAAATACTTTAATGTAATGCACCTATCTTATTTTGTTGTAGATTGTGATAAGTACATTCTGCCAATACATACGATGTGGATACCAAGAGAGAGCTGTGAGGAAAATAAGAGATTCCAGTGTTAATCCGGTTATATACCAGAAGTTCAGACCATATGTAAAAACGGTGACTAGTTTTTGGAACTTTTATAGTTGAAAAGTTTCTTTTTTTTTTTAAAACAGTATTTCTTTATTTATAGATAAATTTTACAATGTACATATATGCGATACAGAAAGAAGTAGTATGAAGTCAGAGTAAAAGTGGTAAGTATGAAGCTAACAGTAGTATGGAGTCAGAGTAGCAGTGGTAAGTATGACGCTAACAGTAATATGGAGTCAGAGTAACAGTGGTAAGTATGAAGCTAACAGTAATATGAAGTCAGAGTAGCAGTGGTAAGTATGAAGCTAACAGTAGTATGGAGTCAGAGTAACAGTGGTAAGTATGAAGCTAACAGTAATATGGAGTCAGAGTAACAGTGGTAAGTATGAAGCTAACAGTAGTATGGAGTCAGAATAATAGTGGTAAGTATGAAGCTAACAGTAGTATGGAGTCAGAGTAACAGTGGTAAGTATGAAGCTAACAGTAGTATGGAGTCAGAGTAACAGTGGTAAGTATGAAGCTAACAGTAGTATGGAGTCAGAGTAACAGTGGTAAGTATGAAGCTAACAGTAGTATGGAGTCAGAGTAACAGTGGTAAGTATGAAGCTAATAGTAATATGGAGTCAGAGTAACAGTGGTAAGTGTGAAGCTAACAGTAGTATGGAGTCAGAGTAACAGTGGTAAGTATGAAGCTAACAGTAGTATGGAGACAGGGTAATAATGGTAAGTATGAAGCTAACAGTAGTATGGAGACAGGGTAATAATGGTAAGTATGAAGCTAACAGTAGTATGGAGTCAGAATAACAGTGGTAAGTATGGAGCTAACAGTAGTATGGAGTCAGAGTAGCAGTGGTAAGTATGAAGCTTACAGTAGTATGGAGTCAGAGTAATAGTGGTAAGTATGAAGCTAAAAGTAGTAAGGTGTCAGGGTAACTGTGATAAGTGTGGAGCTAACAGTAGTATGGAGTCAGAGTAGCAGTGGTAAGTATGAAGCTTACGGTAGTATGGAGTCAGAGTAATAGTGGTAAGTATGAAGCTAACAGTAGTATGGAGACAGGGTAACAATGGTAAGTATGAAGCTAACAGTAGTATGGAGTCAGAGTAACAGTGGTAAGTATGAAGCTAACAGTAGTATGGAGACAGGGTAACAATGGTAAGTATGAAGCTAACAGTAGTATGGAGTCAGAGTAACAGTGGTAAGTATGAAGCTAACAGTAATATGGAGACAGGGTAATAATGGTAAGTATGAAGCTGACATTAGTATGGAGTCAGAGTAACAGTGGTAAGTATGAAGCTAACAGTAGTATGGAGTCAGAGTAACAGTGGTAAGTATGAAGCTAACAGTAGTATGGAGACAGGGTAACAATGGTAAGTATGAAGCTAACAGTAGTATGGAGTCAGAGTAACAGTGGTAAGTATGAAGCTAACAGTAGTATGGAATCAGAGTAACAGTGGTAAGTATGACGCTAACAGTAATATGGAGTCAGAGTAACAGTGGTAAGTATGAAGCTAACAGTAGTATGGAGTCAGAATAATAGTGGTAAGTATGAAGCTAACAGTAATATGGAGACAGGGTAATAATGGTAAGTATGAAGCTTACAGTAGTATGGAGTCAGAGTAATAGTGGTAAGTGTGGAGCTAACAGTAGTAAGGAGTCAGGGTAACTGTGATAAGTGTGGAGCTAACAGTAGTATGGAGTCAGAGTAGCAGTGGTAAGTATGAAGCTTACAGTAGTATGGAGACAGAGTAACAATGGTAAGTATGGAGCTAACAGTAGTATGGAGTCAGAGTAACGGTGGTAAGTATGAAGCTAACAGTAATATGGAGACAGGGTAATAATGGTTAGTATGAAGTTAACATTAGTATGGAGTCAGAGTAACAGTGGTAAGTATGAAGCTAACAGTAGTATGGAGTCAGAGTAACAGTGGTAAGTATGAAGCTAACAGTAGTATGGAGACAGGGTAACAATGGTAAGTATGAAGCTAATAGTAGTATGGAGTCAGAGTAACAGTGGTAAGTATGAAGCTAACAGTAATATGGAGTCAGAATAACAGTGGTAAGTATTTCTAACAGTAGTATGGGTCAGAATAATAGTGGTAAGTATGAAGCTAATAGTAATATGGAGTCAGAGTAACAGTGGTAAGTATGAAGCTAACAGTAGTATGGAGTCAGAGTAACAGTGGTAAGTATGAAGCTAACAGTAATATGGAGTCAGAATAACAGTGGTAAGTATTTCTAATAGTAATATGGAGTCAGAATAACAGTGGTAAGTATTTCTAACAGTAGTATGGATTCAGGATAATAGTGGTAAGTTTGAAACTAACAATAGTATGGAGTCAGAATGGTGAGTATGAGGCTAACGTGAGTATAGAGTCAGAACATTATTATAGAGTTCAAAGATGACGGTGGTAGGTACAACATGCTATCATGCTAGTTATCCTAGACAAGTATCAGAGATTTATGAAAATATCTTAAACTGTTTTAATTTTATAATGAATTCTTGTACCACTTTAAATATAGTTTTATTTTCAGAGTTAGAGCGGCTTTCGTCACTGGTAAGAAGTATTTGAATTTTGCCTTACATTTTTATATCTGCTACAGTAAAGTAGGAAATGCTCAGCATCTTCAAGAAAATGGCCGCATAGACATCTGGGGTCATCAGATATAAACACTGAGCATTTATGGGCAATTAGATCACTCTTTGATTGCCTAAGACGGCAGTGAATTATCTCTGGGAGTCTATTACTGAAATAAAAATAGGGTGGTACTTTTAAGTCATTTTCTGTCAGACGTTGCTTTAGAACATGGATTGATGGGGCTAGTTTGACATTGTTCGGTAGCGTATTCCATAACTCAACTGCAGATGGTAGGAAAGAATTTTCACATTGGACAAACTTTGATGGAATTCCCTTTAATTCGTCTTGATTGCGGACTGGATAAGGGTTAACAGCTGATACTGTTGGTGGAACAAGGAGACTTAAGTAAGGAGGAACGTGTCTGTAGACCATTTTATAGAATAAAATTATTTTATGACGTCTACGTCTTTCTGTAAGTGGGATATATCCCGATTCGTTGTAGAGACGAGCGTGCGATGTACCCCGGACAAGCCCGGTGATAGTCCGCAGTGCGTCACGTTGTAGATTTTCTAGCTTATTACTGTCAGTTGTGGAACAGTTATCCCAACCGACATCTGCATATTCAAAAGTTGGCAAGATGAAGGTTTTGTATATAATATTTAGAGATCGGCGGGACAAACGATATTTAAGACTACGAAAGCAATCAACAAGTTTACTAGCATTTGAAACTACGTAAGAAATATGTGTTGTCTTAGATCCTGATCTATCAAAGTGCAGTCCTAGATGTTTGTGGTAGTACGTATCATTTAGTATTTGATCTCTGAATTTGATTGGAACTGTGGCGGTAGATTTCTTTCTCCTGAAATGAATTGAAACGGTGTTTGTAGGGTTGAAAATCACTTTCCAGTCGTCTGCCCACTTTGATATTGTTTGAAGATCGTGATTTAAAATTTTTTGGCAATGGATCGGGTTTTTAATTGTTACGTACAGGGACGTGTCGTCAGCATGCAGACGAATATTGGCGTTGATATTATTAACAATGTCATTTATGTATATGAGGAACTTGAGAGGACCGAGAACTGAACCTTGAGGCACACCATTTTGAATGATTTTTAGGTCGGAATGCTGGCCATTTATAACAACAGCCTGGTTTTGGTTGCCGGGGTACTGCTGAGGAGCGAATGAAACTGGCCTCTTATACCAAGTTGGTACATTTTATATAAAAGACCTTTGTGCCAGACGCCATCAAAGGCCCTGCTGATATCACAGAAGTTTCTTTTGTCCTGGAGTTTATCCAATGGAGGCTTTGGTTGTTCATTAAGATGGTTGCACGCTATCTGCAAGATCCAGGATTTAATTTCGGAAAAGGACGTTCATGAAAGCGAAAAAGCATCTTTTTAATCTTTCAACCCGTCAGTTACTATGTCGGGGGTGCACGTTAAAGATCCCTCAAACGTAAACTTTATCCATTTGAATTCATTTTCTGACTACTCCAGACGACTGTCAAAATATCCATCAGAGGCTCGAGTCGAGGTAGATGTTTCAGACTTCTCCTTTCTTTTTATATGATGACATGTTCAATTAATTTTTTGTAATATGTGTCAAATCTTTCTGTTAATTAAATTAAATCAGAGAGAGATATAATGGGAATTGGGCAAAACAGAAAAGGGTTGAATCAGAGAGAGATAAAATGGGAATTGGGCAAAACAGAAAAGGGTTGAATCAGAGAGAGATATATTGGGAATTGGGCAAAACAGAAAAGGGTTGAATCAGAGAGAGATATAATGGGAATTGGCAAAATGGGAATAGTTTGGAGGCTAATTCTGAATGGGCGATATCGGAATAAACCCTCACCATTATATATATATACAAGTATTGCATACCAAGTATACTGTACTGTTGTCCCTATCGTGTCTGTGAGAATGAGGACGGACGGTCTGGACGGGCGGACTGACAGGTACAACGGCAATATGTATGTCTACTATTTTATTTGGTTGCATAAAACATACCCCATTTTCGCCACCTGTAACGTATCCGATAATAATTATCATATATAAATATGATTTTCGATATAGTGAATATAAATACTCAATATATATTATTTTAACATTTTATTTGTTTATTTTATTGATAAACATCAATCGGTCTGCAATAATTAACGATTTAACATGTCTTTTCACCCAGGGTGTAACTCGATACAGAATAAGACGTTGAAACAGAATCCTTCGGCATCTGATTCACTGGAAGGTTAAATAATAGACAGACGCCATTAGGTAGGTGAAAAAAAGTCTTGCAATTTATCCATTTCGAACATTTATCAGCACATTGCTGTACTCCCAAGCTCTCAGCGCCGATGAGTGGTAGTTTGAAAAGATTGCATAAACTAAACACCACAACACCCGTAGTGCATCCATGAGTTTTTAAACATAATTGGTAGCATCTTCTTCCAGAATAATTGCGTAAAGTTCTGATGGGTGCAGGGTGCACATTTACATTATAGATTCTTTTGAAGCATTCTGAAATAGAGTGCAATCATAACAAAATCCACCCAGGGGAGATATTGAAAATGTGGAGAGAGGACAACCTATAAACAAAAAACTTGCTTCAAATGAAAATGACATTATCTATGGTACCTTGTATAACATAAAGATACAGTTACATATAAATATCCTAGTCATAACAATTCACCAAAGCCTTCAAATCACATTCAACGCCATTTCTGCCTCTTTAAAAGTGATTTGATGGCTTAGTTGAAATATGACAGTTTTTTCTCCAATTTGATTTATTAAGTCGAGATAAAGAGGGGGGGGGGATATCTGAGGTTGCCCGAATTTCTAACTTAGTTATAAGAGTTTTGCAAACTCTTCGACAGAAACACTATTGTTATTGGCAGAGTATTTTCACTCTTTCTAGAACACATGATACTACCCCCCTTAGGAGATCCACAAGTATTCAGTTTAATTTACTGGATGGGCTATCAATTTAAAAAAATACAGTTATAGTATAGGATATTCGGGCAAAGATATGATTTCATTTTTAAATTCCAAAAAATAAAATAAAATCGGGCCGTTCAAAAAATTTTTTTTTAATGCCTTGCCCGAAAAACTAGCCTTCGGGGCTGCGAGAGGGGGGTGGGGGGGGGGCGTCTGCCGACATGGAATAGGTCTCCTTTGTATAATACGTTCTGTTTCTAATTACTTACATAAACACCACACTGATGTTAATTTAAAAGTGTTGAAGATTACAGATTAAAGGCTACCACCCGTGATTATCCCTATTGTTGACTTCTGGACTAATGTAGATCTACAACAATTAGCAATGTTACACGGCAATGATAATAAAGCCTGTATGCTTATAACAGCCTACTCAAAAAGATAATTTTTAACTTACGTGGTAGTTGAAAGGATGAACAGGTATCTGGAAAAGAACAGAAAAACAGCAAAACAACTGCCAACATCAAACTGGAATAGGCCTTCATTTCGATAGAATAGTGTGATAATGATTATATGTCTGTGTTTATATAGAACATAAGAGACGTTTCGAAAA